TAATTCCGGTGGTTAAAATTGCCGGAGAAGGACAACAAATGATCAAGAAACATTAGTCAAGTATCATAAGTAGACAAGTGAAAGACGTGGACTAAATGTGGAAATGACATAAAACTCGTTGGACCAAAAGTGGAATTAATTCTTTGCACATTCAGAAACAAATATGACAGTTCTATTGTACCTGAAAAACTAAATTTGAATACTAAAAGAGAGCTAAGATGACCCCAGAATAGTGAATGAGAGATTAGGAGAACACTAATATTGAGTAGAGGCAGTATTGTTTTTTATAATCCCTAAGCATTGGTTTTCTGCCCCGTGAGAATAATTCAAAAATAAATTTACTTGCACAAATATACAAATTTTGAATTGCTTGGTGGGAAGAATTAAAGTGGGTAATAAACAAGTATTTTATCTTGTATAGTTGTATGTAAAGCTTGTCCAGCATTCAATTGGTTAGTACTGCCAAAAAAGTTTTGGGTTGTAGTCGACTAGTCGTTACACATAAAGTTGAGGTTTTGAGGAAAACTGTTAATTCAGTTTCAATCAAATGTGCAATGCAAATTTTAATTCATTTTTTATATACTTATAGTGAAAATGTTACCAGAAGTAAGTGTGATGTTAGTAAATTTAGTTTTGACTACACTTCCTTTCAAACTGTGGTCTATTGTAGTAGTTACTGTCCTTCCTCAAGACACACACACACACAACTAACTGGAAACTCAGTGTAAGACCATTCCTCAATCCTCTGATGTCATTGAGTGTAATGATTTTGGACTTAAGGCTCAATTCTGGGGTGGTAGGAATACTATATACGCCACACGGACGGATGCACTTTGGTGACGGACAGGGAAAAGGAGACAATTATCAAGTGTCTTGAAGCTGCCATTCAACGTAGAGTAAGTGAGGTGAGGGATTAGCTGTAATTATATGCAACAAACAACATTTGCCATCATAATATATTCCTTCCTACTGCTTTGGAATGTCAAACAGGGCTTGAGACTGGAACTAAGTGCAAAGGACCGAGTAGGGCTACTCTCTGACGTCACAAGAGTTCTCAGAGAAAATGGGCTCGTGGTCACTAGAGCAGGTGTCTCAACAGTTGGGGAACAAGGTGTTGAAGTCTTCTACATTAGAGATTCATATGATGGAAATAGTCCTGTAGACATGATGGTTATTGTTGAACGCCTTCGTAAAGAATTTGGGCATAGGATGATGCTTAATGTAAAGAAAGTCCCGACGTCTGTAAAGGTTCCTGATCAGACTAGTGCTGGCTGGGCTAAGGCCGGCTTCTTTCTCGGGGGCTTACTCAGAAAGTTCGGCCATTAGAAGTTTGTCCATAAGATTGAGCTTTGGTTGTATATTCTAACTTCTAATATAGCTAATGTAAACTCTATATTCCCAATAAACTTTGCTTGTTTAGTAATTACTACCAAGTATTTATAGTCGACACAATTCCTTTTCGTTCTCTGGATTTGAGTATCGAGTTCTCATCATCCTTTTAAATTCATATTCAAATAGTAATTCTAATGTACCTTATCATTAATCAACCAACGCAAACGGTAAGTCGGTACGAGGTAAAGTTTATTGAAAGAGAGATACTTATTAGGTGTTTATTATGCACTAGGTGTCAAAGAATGTACTTGAGGGGTGGGGTGAATATATATCTCATGCTTGGTTCGTTATAATGTAATAGGAGAATGAAGATTCAAACTATAGCAGAATTTATTGGGGTGACTGTTAGCAGAATTTTCTATCATCCTTACGGAAGAGTAATTGGACAGGGCAAATCTCACTAAGTGCTTGGAGCACGTAATAGTATTTAATGTTTGAAGTATTTATTTTAGGTTTTATTAACAAATGAACACTCAATGTGTAATTGAGAAAATAAAAATTAACAATTATACCACAACAATCAAATCAAATAGTTACTCAGAAATGAAATTTCTACAATAGTACTTGTTACTACCTCCGTCCCGTTGGAAGTTCCCATAGCAAAATAGCATAGTTATTTAAGCAATAATTAAATAAAGTACTTCGAGTATATTTTGACAAATAATTTTAATAGGTATATATTATAATGTAGTTAGTATTGATAATTGTGATGTTATAAATGTATTATTTTTAATATTCAATGATTAATTTATCACTTAAGATTGTTAATTGTTTCCTAAAACGGAAATGAGAACCTTTATATGGGACGTCCAAAAAAGAGAATGAAAACCTCCTATAGAACGGAGAGAGAGTACTTTTTATTGTCTCACTTACACAGTTTTGTTTTGTTATTGTATGCCAAACATAATCACACAATTGGGTTCTCAATTTGATATTGTGCTTAAAGAAAGAATGTCTCAAGCTTCCTAAGAGAAATTAAAAAGAAAACATAAAGTTTCACTTATATTCATTTTTCTTTTTAAAAATATCCCTCTATCGTAAAAAAAAACAGTGCAAAAAGCAATAATGAAAACCTTATCACTTATTTTCACGGAGCAACGCAACAACTAAAATAAAAGAGAGAATCATAGAAGGTATCGATCTGGTAACTCATATATTCAAGGATTAATAGAGTTTAAGCTCGACACCTAGGACTTGTTTGGTAAAATTAAAATCGGTTGATTCTGATGAAATTTATGAAATTCTTGTTGAAGTGGTTGTATTGACTCATGAAAAATTATATTTAAAATATATTTTATTAATAAAATATACAAAAATGAGCTAGAATTGTCATATACGATAACTTCAACCAATACGATCAGAAAAATAACTCCAACCTTGCTATTTCTAATTATTACATAATTTATCGTATAATCAAAAATTACGTGTTAATCAAAAAGTTGGATAATGTGACCGATAAGTCAAAAAAGAGAGTCGAGCATCTAATTATCAAAGAAATGGAAAGGAAGACCATATTATGGGCAGGTCGCACGCACGTGAAGTATGGACCGACAAATTAGATAGCATGGGCTAAAAGTGTTGAAGTAATAAATAAAAATGGAAATAAAGCTGGTAATAAAAGCTACTTCGTGTATGAGGATATATATATATATATATATGTTTTGGTTCAAATAAGAACATGATCTTAGGAGAGAAATGAGAACGAATCTGGACCGTTAGATTTGCTTTAAGTGATATTCAATGTGCATTAGATGAAACTGTAATGTGCATTAAGTGAAATTGAAATGTGCAACACAAAGCATATGATACAACTTCATTAAGTGAAACTGAATTGTGCATTAGGTGAAATTGAAATGTGCACTAGGTGAAATTGAAATGTGCATAATAAAAGGTACGATGTGATGTTATTTTTGTACATTTTATTCCGCACATTTCAGTTTCACCTAATGCACAATTGAGTTTAAATTTTTATTTTGCACATTTCAGTATCATGTAATACACATTTCAGTTTCATCAAATGCACATTTCCGTTCCACATAATACAATCCAACGGTCCAGATTCGTTCTTATTTCTCTCCTGGGAGTCCGTTCTTACCGGAACCGCTCCATATATATATATATATATATATATATATATATATATATATATATATATATATATACACTCCCGGTCCTAAATGAAATTCACACTTTGGCTTCACACAAATTAAGGAAATAAATTTGACTTTACTGTAGAGTACACTGTTGTGACACTGTTTGACACTATTTGACACTGTTTTGATGTAGATAATATGTCAAATAAGGAAGGGAGAAGAAGTGTGAAGTTTATTTTGAACCTACCCAAAAAGGAAAGTGTGAATTTGATTTGGGATCGTACGAAGTATATCTATGTATATACGTAGTATATGGTTGAGAAGATCCGATCCGGTCACAAGAGCTGAGGAAAGCAGCTGGATCCTCGCTATTTAAAGTGAATCTGTCCCCCACTGTGCATACTTGGATGCCATTTGTCTTCTACCTTATGGGTTCTTTTCAAAAAAAAAATACAATCCCTATTAAAATTATTTTGACGCATGCTCACAAATATTGGTAGCATTTAATCTCATGTAACATTATTTTTGGAGATGATTTTACACTCTTAATGCTACAAATCTACAATTATACCTCACGTTTTATAGTATAGATTTCGATCAGTCTCCTATCTAAAGTCTAAATAATTTAATTAATTTGGATTTATATTACACCTCATATTATCAAAAACTTATCTTATTTAGGTGTGAGGTAACACAAGACGCACAAGGTACTCCCCCATTTTCTTAATTTTTTCCCAAGTACTATTACTATATTTTTTTGGGCCCCCTCCAAATATATTGTGAAAGACTAGTTACCAAATAATACTAATACGGAGTTAATTTGTAATCTGAATAATATACATGAATATTAGTATTGGTGTATCATTTCATATTGGTACAATATATTTATATTTTTATAGAAAGATTTGCATTTTTAATCCCGTAACTTTCAGCTATGATCATTACTATTATATTTATAGAAAAATTACTCTCTTGTAATTTTGGACTTGTAATTAATATAACTATGCAATTTTAGAACTTGTCCACTACAAAGTACACTTTATGACCGAAAATTCGACGTCGGCAGCATATTTTGAAGTTCATTTTATCCACCCTAGGTTATATTTGTATACTTGTATTATATTCCGGTCCCCTTGCACTCAAGTCTGTCTCCACCACTGGACCTTGATAAATATCGGATCAGTCAGAAAATCATGATCTGATCGATTATTTGATGGAATCTGATTATGATTTGAGTCAAGTACATTTTCATTTTGAGAATTATGATAATATTTTCATTTTCTTAATAAAAAACTAGTGAAGTTAGCACATTCTGTGTCCTAAACTTAAAAAACAGAAAATTTAAACATGTTTTCTATGTTTGTTGTTCTTTGAGGTGGAATAATAATAGAGTGTGTTCGATCACAAGGCAATTGAGGAGCATCTTGGCATCTCCTAGTCCATAAATTTTCTTTACCAGATATGGATTATTAAATATTATTATTAAATGAATGGAAATAACAATATAGTCGTTCGGCGGCACGTGAAGTAGACTCCGTAGAAAGCAAGGAACTCATAAAAAGAAGGGAACCCAAAAACGAAAAGAAAATACTGTATATGGAAGACGAAGAAGAAGAGGCGAGAGGGCGAAGCTTAGAACAGCACCAACATACGACATATCTCCTTCCCTGCCATTTCTGTGGTTTCTCCTCTTCAATTCAATTTCTCCCACCTCAACTTCTGTTTCTGGTACGTGATTGATCTTCAAAACCGAACTACTCAATCATTTGTACCGATCGACAGTAGTCAAATCGCTACCCACCATCGTCCTCCCTCCTGAACCCTCCTCCACCCAATGCTCTGCCTATATTTCCCAAATGAAATTCGCTGCCGATTCGGTGTATCAATTTGAGCTGTGCACTTCTTTGTCAACTCGGCCAGGATGACCATGTTTCAGTCCTTACTAGCCGCCGGGGAAGGGAACTCCGGCTGCCGCACCGCGGTGGTCGGCATTAAGCTGGATGCTCAGAGCAGGGAGCTTCTCACTTGGGCTCTCGTCAAAGTTGCGCAATCCGGTGATCGCGTCATTGCGCTTCACGTTCTCAATAACAATGGTAAAATTACTAGTTGTGTGCATTGGATGGTTGACTGAGTGTGTGCATTCAATGATTCAATCCACTCTTTGGGCGATCGAGGAATTTTGATTGTTCTGTTTTTTTTGTGGTTTTCCCCTGTAATTTCGTGTTTTCCCCCTTCCGATGAAAGTGTACAAGTGTTTTGTCTGCTCAACTGACAAATACTCGAAAATGTCAGTGGGTCTGACCGCAATATAGGAAAAGATGTGATTTTCTGTTGTTGTTTATTGCTGTGGTAAAAAACCGGCCTTATTGTTCTTTGGCAGAAGCTGTGGATCGGGAGGGAAAATCATCTCTGCTATCTTTGGTGAAAGGCTTTGATGACTCTATTCTTGCGGTTTATGAAGGCTTTTGTAACCTCAAGCAGGTCTATATCTCTTTAAATGCGATCATGTGTTGTTTATTGTTTTTATGTGTGTGTAATCATTATACATCTATGCACTTTTTAAGTGTTACTCCTGTTTACTTTTTGCTAAAATAGTTGTGTGTGGATCTGATTATATTAAGATAATAAGATCTGAGTTTCTATCTTAAAAGCTAAAACCAAAAGGAGTATTTAACAGTCTCATATACTATCGTATTAGTTTATTATTTTTTACAATAAATGGATGCGAGACAAATACTTCAAAAGTTTAGTATAGTGATTCTTCCTATTGGATGTTTCAGATTATGGAAATTATCTGGCTTGTAGCATTAATAATATTGTATTCGTTTTGCTTTCCAAGAACTAGAAAGTAGAATCAAAGTTTACCTTATATAACCCTTGGTATATTGAATTTAGTGAACTAAGAGTTGATGGTTTTGCTGCTAAACTGAGAACAGGTGGATCTCAAACTTAAGATATGCAGAGGCTCATCAGTCCGGGAAGTTCTTGTAAGAGAAGCAAAATCTTACCTAGCAACAGACCTTATAGTTGGGACATCACGGAGTCACCATAGGCTCCGTTCATCAACATATGTTGCAAAGTACTGTGCTGAAAAACTTCCAAGTGATTGCTCAGTCTCTGCTGTTAATAATGGTAAAGTGGTCTTCCGCCGAGGGGCATCGAGACCATCTCAAGCCACAACAAGAGGTTAGTTTGTCATTTAGGATATGTTTGGATGGTGGGTTTTCGAAGAGAATGCTTAAGTGGACTATCTCTATCTCCATAAATAGAAATGTTTCTAAAAATAAATCAATGTTGATTGAAATGCTATGCAATCATATTATGTTAACCTTTCAAGTTTTAATAAAATCACAAATGTATATCTAAGATAGATTTAGCCCTCCAAAACCCTCTATCCCAACTGACTCTTAGATAAGGGTTGATCTTGTTTGAGATTATGCTTAATTAAGTATACCTGGAATATTAATCCTTGTCACTTGTGAATTTATGAATGTAGAAGTTGAACATCTTCACAGGAATGGTTTGCTTAGTGCAATCCATAGGACATCATACAAGAACCCGAAGGTATTAAATGACAACAATAGTGCTCGTGTGACATTGGGCGAGGCATTGTTTAAACATGGTGACATTCATGATGAGAATGCACCCAAAGAGGATTGTTCGATTTGTTTGCCTGACCATTTGCAGGATAATTCTTCTTTTACCACTCAATCAACTGATGAGCCCTTAAAAGATAAAGATGATGAAAGCTATATGGCAATGATACCAGTGGAGAAGCAAGAGGATCCTTCCAGATCTTCGATCACACTGTTGATAAAGGAACTGCAGGCTGAAGTTACTAGACCTGGATGGCCACTGCTTCGCCATGCTATTAACGCAAACAGACCACCTACAGATAGATCCACTCCCCCGCAGATCTCTGTGGTTCAGTGGGCACTTCGTTTGCCAAGTAGACAGCCTTTGCATTTTGAAGAACTAAATGGAGTAAGTGGTGCCATTGTTCCTTATACAAATGAAGCCGTTTCTCATGCATCAGGCACCTTACCTGAAGAACTACTGTGTCTTCATGAGAAATATGCAGCAACTTGTAGATTGTTCAAGTACCAGGAACTTCTGTCTGCAACTCTTGATTTCTCCCCAGGTTTATTATCTTTGAACTTTCAACATAATATGTCAAGTTGAGACTTTAATCACCCGAAGGGGAGCCCATACTTGTATGCTAAACGGAAACCTATTCAACAAAGATGTAAGTAAGATATTCAACATATCCCCTCAGTCCAAACCAAGTTGGACAGCTGAAGGGGTGTAACAAATGGCCCCAAACAGACCACCAAACGGGATGCTCAAACCATGAGAATGGGCATGCTCCTCACAAACTGACATCCCACAATGAATCAGACTCTAATTCTATGTCAAACTGGGCATAGCTCACCCGAAAAGTACCCACTTATATACTAGATTCAAACCCAGTAGACAAATGTTGGATAGTAAACATAATGCTTGGTTTTAAAATGCTTCTTGTTGATGTGGGTAATTTTTTAAATTTCTCAGATAACATCATAGGTAAAGGAGGAAGCAGTAAGGTTTATAGGGGTTGCCTTCCTGATGGCAAAGAGCTTGCTGTCAAGATTTTAAAACCCTCTGAAAATGCACTAAGGGAGTTTGTTTTAGAAATTGAGATCATAACCGCTTTGCATCACAAAAACATCATTTCTCTCTTTGGGTTCTGCTTTGAGAACAACCATCTCTTCCTAGTCTATGATTTCTTATCAAGAGGAAGCCTTGAAGATAACCTTCACGGTATGTTCTGAAAATGATTTTAAAAAATTAGATGAGATGCTTTCTTCATGTTTACACATTATTGGCAAATTTCACCTGGAAAGTGCAGTTGGCTGCCAAACTGAACCAGAAACATTGTGTTTTGATTTTTGTGGGAAAATTCATATTACTCAGGTACTAAGAAGGATTCAGAAGTATTTTCATGGAATGAGCGATATAAGGTGGCTGTTGGTGTTGCTGAAGCACTGGAGTATCTTCACAACCGAGATGATCAACCTGTGATTCACCGTGATGTGAAATCATCAAATATACTCCTCTCTGATGATTTTGAGCCAAAGGCAAGGAACTAATGGCATTTTTCGTATTTTGCTGCATTCTTTTTCTCTTATTTTTTTCCGTCTACAAATAAAATTCAGTCTCACATGCGTAGTTTATAACATTTCCCAGCTTTCTGACTTTGGACTTGCTAAATGGGCACCAACAATCTCCTCTCACATAACATGCACTGATGTTGCAGGAACTTTCGGGTATAGTAACCTACAAATGCATTCAAGCCTTCACCTAGAATTTTTCCAAAATTCAATGTTTTAATGTATTTGAGTCAATCCAATACTGATGAACAAAAAATTGTATTGCGCGACACATTTTCACTCATAATTGTGGTTACATTTTTTAATGTGGATGTAGTTACTTGGCTCCAGAGTATTTCATGTATGGAAAAGTCAATCACAAGATCGATGTCTATGCATTTGGAGTAGTACTTCTTGAACTTCTTTCAGGAAGAAAACCTATAAGCAGTAACTACCCAAAGGGCCAGGAAAGCCTGGTAATGTGGGTATGTTCACTTCTATATTTTACATTTATGTGCCCCTTTTCACTATAAGGCCCCGTTTGGTAGCATTGGTCACCTTATTTTGCTGAATAAGCAGAATAAGAAACCTTTGATTTACTTATTTGGCTGAAAGTGGGTTTACCAAGCACTTTCTTTGATAAAGTTCAGCAAATTGAGCCATTTCACCCAAATAACTCTTCCGAAACAGGAGCTACAGTTTCAACTCTTTTATCCTACTTGGTAAAGCCAGAATATGCATCTTTTGTAATTTACAGGCAAAGCCAATTCTGGATAGTGGGAACTATGCCCAGTTGCTAGACCCAGGATTGGGCAGTAATTATGATTGTGAACAGGTAGAGAGATTGGTAGTTGCTGCTTCACTATGTGTTAGGCGTGATCCCCGAGTTCGGCCTCAAATGAGACATGTAAGTAATGAAGTGTATTCTAATTTTTTATATTGTCGGATATATCAAGATTTGTGCCCACTTTTATTTTCCAGTTCCGTTATGAGTATGTATGTTCTACTTATTAAAATTAAGAGTATGTGATAGGTTCAAAATTAAGTTGAAGAGAATAAGTCAGAAAATGTAAACCTTCCCAGCCAAGTAGACCCTTAGTAACTCGAAATTTGTTGAGGTGCAGGTCTTGAAGCTGCTCAGAGGTGAGGCTGAAATAACCGAATGGACGAGGTTACAACAGGTGTTGAAGGGCTCAGAGCATGCGGGCTCCAATGCAAAGCAGCTACCAGTGGGAGCAGAAACGTCTGGTGATGCATTGGATGACGACGATGATGATGATGATGGCACAACCTCTCATCATGATTCTACCAACATGCGATCACACCTGAATCTTGCAATGCTGGGGGTTGGAGAGGAAGAGGATTCTCTATCAGTCAGCAGCATCGATCATCAACGTATCTCACTGGAGGACTATCTTCGAGGTCGGTGGAGCTGCTCCTCAGGCCTCCTTGAATGATAACTACCTAATTTCTTGGAAAGATTGATTAGGGCAGTCCATTTTATATGCTGCACAGTTTTTGTTTATGGTATATATGTTGTTCCCTTGTTTCTATATATGTCTTGATTTTGGTTAATATATGCTGGGCGGGGGATCTTGGATGAGAGGTTGTAACTAGTGTGCCCTCCTCCTCCCTCCTCCTTTTGTGTTGTATAACATTTATGTATAGCAATTTCTTTTTCAAAGCCCAGGGATCATATCACAACAGAGTCCCAGGTAGCCAAAGCGATAACACTTGGGGGAAGTTGTCAGCACGCAGAAGCACTACCAGATGTGCAACCTGACATTTGTAATTGTGCCCGTCTCCAAAATGACATTAGTAAGTTCAACTCCTTTGTGCGCTAAAGCAACTGCCTCAGCCTCTTCAACATCGACCTCCCAACAGCCAAACCTACTGGTCGGCACTAAGCCAGGCTCCACGGCATTTGTGTTTCGGGTAACAGCCCTCAAGAATTTACCCACTACATTAACCACAGTAGTGGCAGTGTTGTTTTTTACTATATCTTGAGGTGGTTCCGCCCACAAAGCTAAACCAACTGTCCTGGGTACATTCCTCTTCATAAGATTTGTTTTTTTTTTGGTATAATTAATGTAATATTCAACAAGTTTTAGAAAGCTAGAAAGCAGGCCTTCTGTACATGGAAGAAAATCACGCAGTACCTTCGTATCCGGTATCCCCGCAACCCATCAGCTCGACTGATTTTGTTGAAGTGTTATTCACCAACTTGTACAAGTTCATGTACTCCCTCCCTCCCGGGATTTTTCTCCCTTTTCGGCTGGACACTACATTTAAGAAAAAACACTTTTTGGCTAGTCATTTACATTACTGCCTTTTATTTACTTATTGTCTCTCTTAGGGTACCAAACAGTACCCCACAGCCAGTTAAGGCCGTTTTTTCCTTTCCTCTTTATTCCCGTACTGCGCACAAAGAAAAGAAAAAAAAGTTGACTTTTTGCCTCCACAATAATGGGCGGGAGTTAGTCCAAAAAAAAACCCTAATCCCTCCAAAAATGAAATAAAGTTGACAGCTTTGTTGTCTACATATACGAACCACAATGGGTAATCTGGAAAGAGGACAACATGGAAAATACAGAAAGTGTTCAGAAAAAAAAAGACTACCTAATGAAGTTAGACATCTCATATTGGGGGAACTTCTTCAGAACTCTCAAAATGGAAAGTTGCATAGAGGCTTACGAACTGCAATAGCAAAGAAATATAACGTGTCAGACAGGTGTATGTCATTCATTTGGGAGAAAGCAATGAAATGTGAAATCCAAGTGGCGGCTCTTCTATTACTTCACAAAAGTCGCCACTTGGAGTGGCGGTTCTTCTATCCAATACAAAAGCTGCCACTTGGAGTGGCGGCTCATTAATAGATACAAATTCCGTCTTCTCCTTCCCGAACGCAGACGGATGAAAAGGGGAAAAACCCTGATGCTGCTGCGCGATTCCAGCTCCAATTCCGTCCGGCCAACGTCCTAAAGAAGCTTGAATCAAAAGGAAAACACACACAGTGCACTCGAGGCCGTTTGTGCTCAATTTTATCGACTTCCAACCACTTTATTCAAGGTATTTCACCATTTACTTTAAATCTAGGGGTTTTTCAATTTTAGTTTGAAATTGCTTTTTTGGATTATTTTATTTATATTTGATGTTATGAAATATATAATTGTTAAAGTTTTTATTATGCTTGAATTTATTTAATTTGTAGAATTTGAATTATTTTTTGTGTTGGTTGGATTGAGTTTAATATATGGATTGTTTGAGATAGAATTTATATGGATTGAGTAATATGTATCTATCTGATTTTTTAATGAATGAAATCATAAAAATGATATCTATGAGTTAATACAATTTGTATGAATTAAAGTACTTGTAGTTTAATTTTAAACGTGCGACATGAGTCATATTTTTTTTGGAATTATTTTTTATATAATATGTCTCCAAACTTCCCCATTGTTTGTCATTGGGGAGGAAATATAATCGAGGAGTCGAACGGAATTCGTTATGAAGGGGGAGTCGGAAGATAATTGTCGTTTCCTGTGGGGTGGGTGTGGCTGAGTTAATGAATAAAATTTATACCGCCACATCCATCAATCGTATGAACAAGTTGTATTTGAAAGTTAAATATCCCATTCATAGTGGATCATACATGTTGATGGTGTTCCTTTCGATGTATCTATACTTGGACCACACCATGTCTGTGGCGAGGACCCTTTGGGTCGTAGGTACGTTTATGATTTTTGTTTAATTTTTATTTTATTTTATGTATGCCGTTTTGGAATCCATTTTATATTCTTGTATATTACTTTGTGTCAGATGGTTTTTCGCTGACTTCACTCGCACGCCATCCACGGCTGGATTAGGGTATTATAGAGATGCATTAGATGGCATGTGTGATGATCAAGTATACCATGTATATCGTTAATTATAACATATGTTGTTTTACATTTTTATAAACAATGATGTCATAATATTTCGTATTATAGATGACGTGGATGCCATACACTTATGAGATTCTAGGACACTTGCCTCATGTTAGGCGAGAGCACATTGATACATGGCGACCATATGTGCCCTTGATTTGTTTTGATGTAGTCGAGCATCACTTTCCTGATCGCGTACTACGACAGTTCGGGTTGCAATAAGTTTTCCCGCTCGTTGTGATATTTCTCTGGACTTACACAAGATTGATAGGCGAGAGAAACACACTGAAGATTGGGGGATGCACCATATGCCGTATATCACCATGTGGGATGAGAGAGCGGCGTATATAGTGGATGGGATTCCATCAGTAGTCCCCACAGTCTCTGCAGATTACATGAGATGGTATCACAACATTACATGGGTGTTCATCTCTCCCAGTTTCCGTCTACCCATCGATCATTACCAGCCTAGCTCAGTCACTTTTCATATCACGGTACATAATATATTCACATAAATCACTTTATTTATTTATTTAATTATTTGTTTATTCACGTGTTTATCACTAGTGACCATGTTTTCATTACAGATACGGGCTTTGCATACTATCCGTGATAGAGTGGCTGCTCTACTTGATGAGGGGCAAGATGCAGAGAGATATCATGAGATGTGCTCGGGCATTGCTGCATTGTGTGATGATGTATTGGGTCAAGTAGACCATGGATATGTGGCCGCCTCTCAGTATTCCACGTCATCTACATTCGAAGCAGGGTCTTCCCAAGCACGACAACATGATAGAGTGGTTCTTCAGCCGCGTAACCAGCACAGACGCCCCCGACGTCAGGCACAACCACAACCACAACCACATGAGCTCTATGATGACGATCATGTTGAGTTGTGATATTTGTACTTCATATTATTGTGTTAAACAAGAACTAGTTGATCGATTTATGAAACATTGGATTTATTTTGGACCTTATGTGATATTTCTAGTATCGTGATCAAATGTAGTCCATTGATTCGTTGTGTTTCGACTATGTTTTAATTTTTAGCAACCTATATATTCACTATGAAGAGCAGATTTCTTTATGTTTCTGAGTTGGTTGTATTGTAAAGGGCAGGTTTTTGTGTTTTTTCAGATTGAATAAGATGTGAACAGGTTTTTGTGTTTTTTGATGCTGATTTAATTGCTAGTGTTGTTGGTAAAGAGAAGAGCTGCCACTTCAAGTGGTGATTTTTGTGCAGTTATTGAAGAACCATCACTCCAAGTGGCGGCTTTCGTGAAGTAATAGAAGAGCCGCCCTTGGAGTGACGGCTTTGCTTAACCCTGATTAACTCAAGCAGTATTTCGGGAATTATTGTTAACCTACAGTATTTTGGGAATTATTTATTCAATCAGCATTATTCCGGGAAAAAACTTGAGAGAGAGAGAGAGAGAGAGAGAACTTATCCTGTCCGAACGTTTGGACAGGAGGCACCGTCCGAACACCACCGTTTGATGAAATTTTTATGGTATGTTCTTCATCAAGTCTAGTTTTTCCACAAAAAATTTAGCTCAAAATTTGATCGGGAATGCCTTCAAATGATTTTTTGAAGTTGACTGTGCCAAATTATACATAGAAAAACGCAGTCAACTTCAAAAGATTATTTGAAAGCCTTTCCGATAGGATTTTGAGCTAAACTGTTTTGTGGATAAACTAGATTTGATGAAGAACACACCATAAAAATTTCATCCAAAAATTCCACTGGGAACCACCCCGAACGGCGGTGTTCAGACGGAGGCCCTAGTCCGAATGTTCGGACATGATCATTTGTGTGTGTGTGTGTGTATTGGTTCAAATGAGAACAAGCCTTAACGTAAGAAGTGATAACAAATCACATTCATCGATTAGCCTATATGGATCGATACTCAACTGGATTGAACTAAAGGCTATTTACGTATTTTAAGAAGTTTGATGTGGTAACTATCGTTTGCAGTTAATGTATTCTTGTTGTCCACTTCTTGTACATTAAATGACATATATTATTAAATAATGTTTTCTATTTGTGACCTACTCACTTGATTGGTAATTCACTTGATTTTACTTTTCTATTTAAGTTATATTCCTCTTTCTCTTACTTTAATTGCATGTAATGTTTTGTAATTTTTTTAAGTACATTTGTGCACTAAATTATTATTTTCAAAGACCATTTTTTTCAATAACTCTAAATAATATCTTTTCACAACTAACATATAGCGATGCACAAACTTATTCAAATGTACACTTATTCTAATGTGCATACACACATATAGTAATGCACAATTGACATATACGAAATGTGAGTTAGATACATGTTCGTGTGCATTACATAAATGAGTTGTGTGTTATATATATGTTCATAATCATTACATATTCGGGGTTGTATGTTAGATATCGGTTCTTGTGCATGACATACTTGTGGTGATATTACTTAGTTCTTACTTGTTGTGCATTAAATATTGGATTTTGTGCTTAAGATATTTATTATAGTGTTTTGTAATACATATTGTGCGCTTGACACTTGTACTTGTGTATTAGATATTTGTACTTGTGTGTTGGATACATGTTCTTGTGTGCATTAATTGATGATGCTTGTTGTCGTTCATAGTATACATATTATACTTTTTCAAAAAAATCATATATGCATTACCGGTGTCATATGAAAGATCATAAAAAATTATTTAATTTGATATAATTTTTATAAAAATCGGATTATAATTTTAAAAGTTAAATCAATTTTAAATTAAAAACATTTTATATAATTTGAGTTTTAATTTCTACCTAGTTTTTAGGTAAGTGGAAGTCTTCTACGGTTACCACATTAAAAAGTCTTTTTGCATATTACTGTAGTGCCCCTTTCATAACCTACGTTTTTTTAAATGTTTGCACTTCCCCATACATCCATGGATCTAATCGTTTAATAGCCTTTGATTTATTAGAATGTATGGTTAAGATTTGTTCTTATTTCTCACAATAAGGAGTGTTCTCATTGGAACCCATATATATATATATATATAGTAATCTAAAAGCAAAATGTTTTTTGCTACATGTTTGCCGCTCAAAAACATCAACATCAAAAAAGTACAAAGAGAAACATTGAAAAGAAGTGGCCATGTTCATTGTTATGACAAACTTTATCTCAAAATCTTTCCAAAATCTTGAATAAAGTGAAAGTGACGTGCAATCCATCTGGGCATACAGAGTAGGAAAGTTGAGTAAAGAATGATAATTGAAGGACAATGGTACAGTGCATCGACGAGACATTTGATTTGACGAGACATATGATTAATTCATTCTCACACTCCTTAATACATACGTAGTAAATTACTTCAAAGTTTTGGCATAATCTTTAATTAAGTGAAAAACAGTTGGCTCGGA